AGATTTTTCCACCGCCAAAACCGATCAAAGCGGCGGTCCCTAGTCACTGAAGGCATAGGAACTCATCGTTGTCATTGAGGAGGGTAACGAGCCCAAGAATGTCATATGTGACATGGCCTATGATTGAGTGACATCTTAAATTTGAAGTAAAATTATTATTCTCATGTCTTTGGATGAGGAAAGCTCGGTCGGGATCGTCGGTACTAGAAGTAAAGCCTATATGTTATCTAAAATTAAAGCCCTTAATATCTAGGTAAAATAAATAAAAAATAAAAAAAAACGAAAAAGGGTGGTAAATAGGGTTAGAGCTAGTAACCTTGAATCTTAGATTCAACTCAAACCCATATTCATCTCAAAATCAATACGTAACTAAAAGCAAGCCTGTTTTCATCTATTAATACGTAACTAAAAGCAAGCCTGTTTTCATCTATCTATATATTTTTTATGCCGATATCAAAAATTTGTCTCAAATCAACCCTTTAGAATATGCGAATTTGGTTGGAAGATAAAGAAATAGGGTAATTTTGAGTATCTTGGTTTTCAGCTGAATCATCTTGTGGGCTTAAATAAGACCCAGATAATAACTTGGTTGACGCGTTATTGGGCTTAACTAAAGCGCAGACAACAACTTGGTTGACAGGTGAAAAACGTTTACATTTTGCTATTTAGTTGGCAAGCATCCATAGGCTTTAGTTACTTTTATGGCTGTTTAAAGTGTTAATTTAAACTAGTAGTCCCCAAAATTAATAAATTGAACTACATCCATCAATATTTAAATAGATATAATTAGTCTCCCAATTGCTATTAGTTACCACAAAGAAAGACAAGTTATGATTTTCTATTTGAACTTAAATCAGGTGTGGTTAAAACCCTACCTTAGTTAAACCAACTTGAATCAGCCCAAGTTAAATTTCATTTACTTGTTCAATTCTTAAATTGAATGTTTTCTTAAATAGAGTTTAAATGTATGATATAAATATGAACGGACCTATGATTACCTAGTTTATTGGCTTTTCTAGATAGGAACTGTTGATATGTCACTCCATATTAAGGCCATCAGGATCCTAAACATATAAAAGAGAAGCGGAAATAAGAAATGTTTTAAGTTCGTAAACCATTAATTCATTTCATTTTGGAGCATTTGAAGCGTAAAACGACATGAAAACCTCCTTAGCCTAAAAACTAAAAACCTCCTTCATCCATTGGATCTAGATGAATCCAATGGCTGAGATTCAGTCAGACAGTCAATAGACACATGCATTAATTATCTCAACGTAGTGAATCCAGATTCACTACCTCAACGTATCTCGAATCACTGCAGTGAATCCAGATTCACTACCTCAATGTATCTGGAATCACAGCAGTGAATCTGGAATCACAGCAGTGAATCTGGAATCACAGCAGTGAATCTGGAATCACTGCAGTGAATCTGGATTCACTGCAGTGAATCTGGACCCACTGCATTGATGTAATTAATGCATGTGTTTAATGAGGTAATTAATACATGTGTTTGTTGACTGTTTGACTGAATCCTAGCCATTGGATGAAGGAGGTTTTTAGTTTTATATGGGTTCCACGTTTGCCACTACTACAGAAAACGGAGCATAGTTCCTGTCACAAGCACAATGTAAGGGGCTGTTTGGTTCCCTGTTTTTGAGGGAAAGTTATTGTTGAAAGCCTGCCAAAAGTACCACTTTTTGGCAGGCTTTCAAGCAAAATCCTCTTTTTTAGAGGCGTTTTTTGCTTAAAGCCTGCCAAAAAAGTGATACTTTGGCAGGCTTTCAATAGAAAATTGTTTTAACCAAACAGCCCCTAAAGTGATTTCATAAAAAAAAGACATGATTTTAGGAGAAAGCTGACATTGAAGTCAGGAAAAAATAAAAAAAATAATTCCAACCAATATGAACATTTGAGTAGGGACCGCTTTTTACACTTTCCAAACAAACAATTAGGAGCTGTTTGGTTGTATGTTTTTACCATGTAAAAGGATGGAAAGTGTAAAAAAGTGGGTCCCAATGTCAGCTTTCATCACTTTCAATTGTTTGTTTATAGTTGTGAAAATAGTGTAAAGTGATTTCATATGCTGATGTGGCTTGTAAAGTGATTTCATAAAAAAAACATGATTGAGCTTTGCTACAGGGACCTAAAATATGGACCAATAGAGGGGACAAGTGAGGTGTCCCCCTCCTATTGGATAGTGAGTTGGCCATCATTAATGATGGCCAACTCACTATCCAATAGGAGGGGGACACCTCACTTGTCCTCTCTATTGGTCCCATATTTTAGGTCCCTGTAGCAAAGCTCAATCATGTTTTTAGGAGAAAACTAACATTGAAGTCAGAAAAAAATAGTAAATAATTCCAACCAATATGATCATTTGAGTAGAGACCACTTTTTATACTTTCCAAACAAGCAATTTATGATTCCAATGGAATAAAAAAAAGTATACAAGTGAAATTGATGAGGTGGACAACAACTTTTCAAGTTGTGTCATAAATACATAATTTTACCAACAACAACCAAAACAGTCTCTTAAAGTTACATTTGCAAACCAAATTTTACAAATGTAACTTTAATTGATTCTGAAGCCCCACACTTCCACCGACATATTTCCCTAAAAAAATGAAAAAAAATTTTGAATTTCAAATCTCTGCTAAAATTTTGAAATTCTAATCAGTGTTGTCATATTGCTCTCCTTCACAAACACAGACGCTTCCTCTCCCCTCTTTTTTTTCTTATTCTCCCACATCGGCTCAGACAATCCACCCTCCTCCCCCCTCCGGCATCGTCAGGCTCCTCATCCAAGCTTCCCTCAGCTTTCTCTCTCTTTATAAAGCAACGGAGGGATCTCTCTAAAAATCTCTCTCTCAAATTAGACCTAATCTCTCTCTCATCCCCTAACCATTAATCTCTTCCCCAATCTCTGAATCTGCGGGCTCCAGCAGAGAGATCGTCGAGACATGGCGACGTCAGAAGCGAACCCTGGAGTGCCTCCCCTCCCACCTCGCCGACGCCCTCTTCCGTTGCCTCCGCCACCGCCACCTCCTCTACCCATCCCTCCTCGAGTCCGTTCAAAACCCTAGCCCTAACTTTTTAATTTTGGACCTTTTCTGTTGGAATTTGTGAATTTTTTTTATTTTGTTCTGGGTTTTCCAGCATTGCGTTGAAGAGGTTGATTTGAGTGGGGAGAGCAGCGTGGATGCTGAGTGGATGACTTATTTGGGGGGATTTCGGAATCTTCGAATTTTGAAGCTTTCGTATTGCAGGAGTTTGAATATTCTGTAAGTGTTTTCCTTCTCTCTTTTTAATTTGTTCATATTGATGCAATTATAACTCCAAAGAATATGAACAGAGACTATATTATGATTAGGAAAGAGTAAAAAAACTTCAAATCAGTTCAGAGAAATATTATTAGTTTTAGAAAAATAACTTTATTTACTAGTCTATTTGATTTTTGGGTTTTGAAATTTTAACCTATTTATTTTATTTCCAATTTATTACCTGAATGGCCTTTTGAGATCAATTCAATATATGTTGTCTGGGAAAGAATAACATCCATGTGGTTATACTTATAATAGCATATTGATAACCACTTGGAAAATTGTTTCTGCTATGTTCGTGCATTGTTCATATTGCCCTTCTACAATATATGCACAGTGAAGTGTTGAAGGCAATACTTTTTACATAATATCTCTAATACTCTGCCTTTTGGAACTTCAAGTAAATCTTTTTCATCCCAAATTATGAACAGTTACTTGAATGTTATTTGGCAACGTTGATTGTTTGACTATGTTTTCAGATAAGATAAAACAAGCACGAGAGATTTTTAGTGGCATGAGAGTTAGGATTCCAGTCAATTGGAATGCTATGCTAGCTGGGTTCATCAACAATGGGCAATCAGAGGATGGATTAAAATTGTTTAAACTGATGGTGGGGTCAGTTGAGGTGCGCCCGAACCCATCAACATTAACCAGTGCATTATTGGTATGTCGCGATCTCCCAGGTTTAAATTCAGGAAAGCAAATCATCAGTGGGCTTCTAAATTATCTCTGAGTTTTAATATAATAGTTGAAACCTCATTAGTGAGCATGTATTGCAAGTGTGGGCACTTGGATGATGCTTCGAAATTGTTTTCAATGGAATGGCGAGAAAAGATGCAGTCTCATGGAATGCAATAATTTCTGGTTATTCCCAACACAGACTTGGAAAAAGTGCTATTGAATTATTCCACGAAATGAAGCAAGATGTAGTAAAACCTAATGAAATCACCTTTGTCACACTCTTAACAACATGTAACCATTCTGGGCTAACCAAGCATGAAACCACTTGGCTGAGTTGTTGGTTAGGTGGTTATAAGTAAAGGTTAGCATTGAGCTCATACTAATTAGACTATTGAGTGATTTAGTTTCTGCCACAATGAAGTTTATGAAGCTTGGGTCAAAGCCTGGTTCTTTTCAGGATGACAGTGACGACGTAAGGTGAGATTTTTCATGGATTTTGTTGCTTTTGGTAGTACCAATCAGGCTTATTGAGGCGTGCCCGGGGCGCGGGGCGCTTCGGCGTAGGGGAAATGTGCCCCGCACGCAAGGCGGGGCACTGTACGCAGAGAGGCGCGCGCCTCTCGTGCGCCTCATATGTGTCTCGCTCGCGCCTCGCGTGCGCCTCGCACCTGCGTTATGTAACATACTCTTTCTTTTATTTTTTTAAAATAATTTACATAATTACATATTTATATTATGTAATATACTCTTTCTTACTAATTGCTAATCTATTTTCATATTTTCATGTTTAACCTATAAAAAAGAAATAATAGTTAGTAATTTAGTATACTTGTTTGCTAATTGTAACTTCCTTCTCTACTTAGCATGCTAACTAGCAAATTATGAATATGTAAATATGTAATTGTTACATTCATTCTTCATTTTTTCATGCTAAGTAGCAAATATCAATTAAGAATACTAACTAGAAAATTATGAACAATCATGTTTGTTAATTATATTTCTTAGTCTTTTATGTGACAATTTATAAACATATGCTCATAATTGTTAATCACTTAATTTGATGATTTAAATACATGTTTCTTGTATCTTTTTTATTACTTTAAAATTTCAATTAGCATAATTTGATGATTTAAGTTGATATTCTCATAATTTTGGATGTAGGTAACTAATATGTTGCTTATATATTTTTGTCTTATGATATTGGAAAATATTAGTTTGAGTTATGCGCCTCAATTAGTGAGGCGCGCGCCTCGATGTGCGCCTTGCGCATGGTGTGCGTAAGGGACCTTTGCGCCCCGCATTGTGCCTTGCGCCTCTATAACACTTGTATCAATTTTGCATACTGTTTCATAGTATGTATTCGATTTGGAATGTTTATTTATTTAGGCATGATTTTGTGTATTTATTGTTGATATTTGTCTAGATTAGTCTTTTCATAAAGATCTATAGAAAATAAATGAAACTGTCAAAAGTATTCTAGATTAATGCTTACATTTTGTTATAGAAATGTTATGCGTAAGAGAATTATATAACCTCCAAAGTGCGAGTAGGTCTAGGGCGGGTGACCTCCTGAGAAGTCTTTGCTTAAGATGTTTAAGTGCATGTCAATGGCTTATTTTAATGTTGCATTATCTGGTATAATTTCGAGTATTTACTTAGTATTTTTTTAAAAAACTCTCTCTTTAGTTCTGCACCAAAAAGGCATATAAATCAAATTACTAGGCTGGATAAGGTTATCTGCCTATGTCATCCTTATGCTGAATGATCAAACTTTGTTTTATTAATTTATGTAATTAGTCCTCTGTGGTCATTTGTGTTAGTTAATTGAAATACACAGTACATGATAATTTATTAGCAAACCGAAGTTAATTTCTGAGAAAACTATTAAAAAGTTCAATGATACTTTGTTGAAATTTACCACTGCTTTCAACCATTAGTCACTCGACATTTATTCTTTCCATTTTGGGTTCTATGCTTAAAAGTTAAAAAAATAGCTTTCTTATCTCTATAGACACAATAACGCATGACACCAAAGGTTATCAAGGAATGAATATACAGTTCACAAACTGTAACCAACATATCTCCGAGGTTCAGTCCTCAAAGACTCACTGACACCCTGGTTCATGAAATGTAGCAATATTACCCACAAGAACTGATGTGGTTCTTAAACTGATTCAGCTCCACAAGGACTTCTTCGGTAGGTATGTGTATCAACTATCAAGTCACTCATGCACCATATCTGTAGAAATGTTATGATTTAGAAAGTCGAAAGTGAGATCATATATAGACTCGTCTTCTTTTTTGGGATTTACATAAAATTAATACTTATAACACAAATTTATAAAATTGAAGAGTTTGAAATATGCATGATGAATTTATGTTATATTACCTGTAAGCTTCCATCAGGATTGCAACCAGAATCGGTAGATACACTAGCAATTGTCCATGGATCAGATATGCTCCAGTTGAAATCAGGATTGCAACCAGAATCGGTAGATACACTAGCAATTGTCCATGGATCAGATATGCTCCAGTTGAAATTTGTCACTTTACCTCCTCTGCAAGCACAAACACAGAAAATATACAATAAACATGAAGCAGATCCAAAGACTAGACCACAAGTACCTTATTTCGCCACTATTATCGTATGTTATTAAAGGGTCAAATTTTAGCACCCCTAGCTTTGGCCTAAAAAACATAGCTTAATGTGAATCCACCAGAAAAGGACAGGCCACCTGGATATCTTTGATGCACTTTTAATATCTTAGGTATCTATTATGCTCTCTTAGCATCTTCTACAATATAATCCTCATTAGGGAACCAGGAAACTATTGCCAATAATAGAAAATGTCATTTCCAAAGGAAATCAAGGGTACACATATCCATCTCTAAGCCCAGCGTGAATAAAATCCTAATTATTGTAACATAAAGACAATGGATGCAGCTGAACTAATATCTGTAATAACTAGATGCAGAATTATCTATTCGGATAATCAACAGAATTGACATGGATAAATAGGAAACAAGATTTTGACAGAAACAACAAACATGTGTGTCCTCCATATATTCAATTGAGAAATTACATATTTGATTTTGTGAGATTTTGATGGTTATTATAATAAGCTATGCATTTTGTTTGTTTTTTACATATTTATAGAGATGCAAGAGCTGACTTTGATGATTAATAAAATCTTTGGTAATTAAAATGTTGGTAGGTAACAAAAGTAAAATCTGATTTTGAACTTGATTCATTTTTAATTAATTTGATTTTAGATCTTAATTTTTCTAGAATGATAATACATCTTATATTTGTGCTATACTGAAAAGCCATCATCTTTGATATTTTTTCTTTCTTTTTATTGTCAGTAGTGTGCTTATGCCTTCTCAGTAAACAATATGAATATATCTCATTTGTTTTGCCTCCAGTGTTGGCCGTTTTGCTTCTACTTTTCCTTTTCTGGTGAGTAAGAGTAGAGAAATGTCTCCGACAAGCAATATGAATCTCTTATGAATTTATAGCATGCAGTGTATTTGCAGTGTTGAGTCTTCCTTAAATTAGTTCATATCAAACTATACTTGAAACTTATTGAATAGATTAATATCATAATTGATATGTAGCTATATTTTAATGAAAGGTGATGTACTTGAATGTGATTGCAGGTTGTTCAACTAGGTGGGAAAGATATGCTTGCAATGCTTCATATTGGCTTGCAAAAGTGCAAAAAAATTGAATGTTTTTGTAAGTCAACTATTTATTTTACCCCCTTAATGAATATGAGATTTAATGCACAAGCTTCTCCCTTTTCTTTTATTGTAAATACCATGTACAAAATTGACAAATCTAATAAAAATCTCAGTTACAATTAAGGCATGAGTATCAACATTAGTTTAAGCATCATATACATGGCCCTCGCATCTAAATGAGTTGGTACAGTGATATAAAGCTGATAGGGTGAAGGACGAAAATAAGTATGGGCACTATGAAAGTGTTGCGCCTTTGTCATTCCAGAATCAAGTTTTTGAAGGGCCTGACAAGGACATAGAAACAGGTGATGACAATATAACATAATTATGATTTGTCAATTTGAAATATGAATATTTGTGTAATATTATTTTTCTTATTTTTGTGATTACCTCAGAAATGCATCTTGCCAATGCAAGGCAGTCCAGAATTGAAGAGGCAACTGATGATGATGGTCCCAGCACCTCAGGAAGACAGATAAATGAGGTACTTGCTTCAGTTACCTCTAAATTTAATTTAATCTGAAAGTTTTTTTTTTTTTAGTTTTTAGGTAATGGATAAATAGATTTGTGATGATTATTTGCTTACATCTTGCATCATGTACTTCCAATAAAAACCATCTGCTACATTGTATAGTCCATTCACATGTTAATCTCAGAATACCTGCAATCATCTATAATATGCATTTCAGGGCTCAAGATATATATGCATTTTAGTCTATGAAATGCTGCTAGTTACCTAGCTATTATCAGATGTAAATGCCATGCGCTTACTATAGATGGAAATGTGGTTGCATTTGAGTCAATGTGTCCCTGAACATTTATGAATGCTTCATCCATTAGGCATTAGCACATGGTCATATGACTTTTAGTTATGGTCTGAAAACTAGATCGACATTTTTTTAATAGAGGAAAAATCTGGGTATTGAACGGAAATGTAGATGCTATTTCGCTTCCATTGTTTATGGAGAATGCTGCTTTGTTAGGGCGTGACATTTAAATAGTAATTTAAGCTACTTTACTTTCCAAAATAAATTGATCTCTTAAGTAGTAATTGGCTGCAAAATTTCGCCATTGACAAAACTTTGGAAATAGATATTCGGCTACTTTAGTGATATATTAATTTTTAGATTCTTAAATTAGGAAATTTAGAGTTGACTTTATATTCTTTAGAGCGAGAATGTATAAGCATCAGATGACAATATTTTTCGTAACATATATTTTAATATGATTTATGATTTTTAATTTTAAGTATACAATCATCAAATCAAATGTATTAAAACTTAGAGAGACACAGATTTTAATATGATTTAGGTAAGTTTTTATTGCTTACAAGAATTTATAATTTTTACTAGAGAGACACTAGGGGGCACACTCCCAACCAGACTCTCAACTATACTCCCCGCTACAGTATGTTGTTTGTATATTGTCTGATTCTAAGTTTTGTATTTTCAAATTAATACCGTGGAAGCTTCATCAACTCAATTTCGTTAGGTATGTTTTTACTGCTTACAATAATTTATTATTTTTACTATACCCCTCATTTCAACTTATTTGCTATGCATTAAATGAACATTATTGATGAAGGTTTTCTTTAATAATTCCAAAAAAGTGTTCGTGGCCATTTTTATTGAGTAGACAGAAGTAGATACTTTCTAAGCAAATCAATTCCAAAGGGATTATTTTTTTTATGATAAACGTTAAACATTCTATAGCTTTCGTAAATCTTAATTCACAAAGTATAATGAAAATTTACATAAAAGATTAATTTTTGGTCTAATTAGTTAATATTAGTATTTGAGCACTAAAAATACATATATTTCTAATCAAATCAATTCTAAAATTATAACAAGTTAAGTTTTTCTTTTTGTGGTGCTAAACACTAACCATTCTATAACTTTGGAAATTCAGAATTCACAAACTATGACCAATATTTACCTAAAAGATAAAATTGGGTTAATTTATTAACATTAGTATTTGAATATTAACAATTGACACATTTCTATTCTACAGCATCATCGTTGGGACATTGAGCATTTGTGGGTGGACATCAGTAACGCTAACATAAAAGGTACTTATTGTATGTCATTTTTACATGCATGAACCTAATTATGTTATGAGGCCATCTATACATATATTGCATATAGACTATCACTGCTAAAAAATGAGGCATCATAGACGGAAAATTCCGTCTAGGATACCCAGAATTCCGTCTAGGATGCGTATTCTAGACGGAATTCCGTCTAGAATACGCGTCTAGTTTATTTCCGTCTAGTATGTAGTATTCTAGACGGAAATTCCGTCTAGAATACATCCTAGACGGAATATTCTAGACGGAATTCAAAACCGTCTAGAATACATCCTAGACGGATTATTCTAGACGGAAATTCCGTCTAGAATAATTTATCCTAGACGGAAAAAAATTCCGTCTAGAATAAGTATTCTAGACGGAAAATTCCGTCTAGAAATCTTATTCTAGACGGAATTTGATTTTTTAAATTTTTTAATTTTTTTAATTTTTAAAAAACATTCTAGACGGAATTTAAGCATCCTAGACGGAATTTCCGTCTAGGATGCTATGCTACAGTTTTTTTTTTTTTTTTGCAGAATCTACTTTGAGTGCTACAGTTTTTTTTTTTTTTTTTTTGCAGAATCTACTTTGGTCATTGAAGAATTAAGCAAAAAATGCTTATAGGAAAATACTTGAGCTTCTTTCATTACCAAGATTATACCAAGATGAACTAATCTAATAATATCTATTAACAAAATGAACGCTATACCAAGATAAAGTACATTAATTTAGCATTACAAAGACTCCAACTACCTTAAACAATTACACTCTAACATGTACTATTAAACCTTTCTGTTGACAATAAATAAATCAATAAAATTACAAATGGCCCAACTTGTTACATAGGGAAGCAATTGCCCCCTCTCTCCTTTCAAAACGCCTGCTCTACTCTCTCACTTCCCTTTCTATGTGAAAGTGCTTCCATCATGAGGGCCACATGCTCTTCGTTCACCTGCAAAAATTGATTTATTACGAGTAAATATCCTAGAATATAATTTTCAGAGGTCAGGCAAACTAAACATGTGAGATATTTGGCGAAAAAATATTTTATTCTTGATAACTACTCGAGAGAAAAAAAATGTCGCTAAGGGCCAAAGACAGATAAAAAAAGAATGAAATGTAACTGTGTAGGGTGAAAATTTGATTCTTCCGAAGAAAGGAGTTTCGTTTGTATTTATAAGAAAGCTTATTACAAACTAACAAATCAAATGTTTACAACAGAAGCAGAGGGAAGGCCCTCTTTGTTTAACGTGGGTCCCTCGGTGGCGATAGGATGGCTTCGCTCGATGCTCGGGTCGAGTCTGCTTCCCTTGGACCGTTTGAATGAGGTTGCTGGAGAGCTTCAGTTCGCAGTAGAAGCTCGGGGCAATGGAGTTCGGGTCTGCTTAGTTCGTCGGCGATCGGAGCTCGGAACTAGGCAGCAGTGCTGTAATGCAAGGATTTGCTAACAGCTTGGTCTCAACTCTTTTTTCTCCAAGTTTTGCGACCTCTCTTCCATCGTGCTGGAAGGGGTTTTTAAATGAAAGAAGGACAGCTTGACTTCTCCTTGAATTGTGGGATGTGACCACATCCTCTTCAGAGACGTCTCGCCGTTCCTCGATACCATGAACGGTCATTCCAGGGATTGTGCTCTATGTCCTGTCACCTACGATGGGAAGGCCCATTCTTGTATGTGAGGCAACAAACGACTGCTATCCGAGTGGATTTGACCAGCATTAATGAACCGCATTTATGAGTTCGCAGATCGATGAAGTGTCTGTCCGATCACTTGTACTGTGCGTGACCGCCCGGCGTGCTTTGAGCACGACGCTTTCTCCTTTCCGGTCAGGAGAGGCGGTGAAGTAGGTGTACAGTACTCGAGTGGGTCTAGCCAGCTTGCCGAGTGCCGGCGGATCCAGCTCTTGGCTCAGACATCCGAGGTGAGTCGCATTTATGAATGCTCAGGTTGACTCGACACCTGTCCAGCTCCTTCGCGCTGTGCGCACTGTGGGCGGCCGTTTGACGGTCCTGGGGTACTGTGCTCTCTCTCCCTTCGGGTCGAGAGAGATGGGAAGGTCCATCTCAGCACGTGGGGTAGTGGATACCCAGCTGTACTGACGGTTTTGGGGCTTGCTGGCGGATTCGACTCCGAACTCGGGCAGGCGAGTTGAGCGAAGAGCGAATTTCCGCCATCCTGATCGACCCTGACTCATGCTGGCGAGTCGACCGTTAGGCGAACCTGGACTTGAGTACAGTCGACGTCTACGCGGTTTAGGTCCGTGCCAGAGAACTGGGCGTGCGAACTCTTCTCGTAGGCAAATTTCCTGTAGACCCATAGAGGTATTTTTTACCGTCTACAAGACCCCCTTCAAAGTTTTCAGACCTAAACTGGCTTGCGTGTGGTCTGGAATACTTTGAATGAAGAAATTGTTGGCGAAGCAAGTGCCTTCGATTTCTCTTAGGATTTTTAGCAAATCCTCAGCTATCAACGGGTTTGATGTGCCTTTACCGATTACCGTTTGAATCGGGCTAGTCATACTATTCTCCTCAGTATGATCCCGAAGTGGAGGCGAGGATAGCTAAAGAAGGAAGCACCGTGATTCTCGACCGCGACGAAGGCGGATTTAAGTCTGGTACGGTTCTTCACTCATTCCATCATCAGGCGAAGTTTCTCATCTCGGGGAAGGCGCTGCTCGCGGGGTACCTCATGTTATGGCTGAAGAGGTGCGTAATCCCCACTCACTCCTTCGAGGCTCTTCCTATAGAGGTCGTGTATCCGGCGGTTTGCCTGGCTCACGGGAAGTCTTATTCCCTGGTATCGGCGACGATAGCGTGCATCCATCGGGGGCTCCGTACTCTGACGAGCCAATTCTGCCGTGTGTCGGTCCTCGACGAGGGGGAAGGAGAAGTTATCAGAACCCCCAATCCTAGGGTGGGGCTACCGTATACCTACTTGGTGGCATGGTTCGTCTATCACTGCGAATGCTTGATGAGTGCCCCGGCAGCGCTTCAGGGAGACAGGTTTGTCCCCTTTGTCCAGCGTTTGGAGAGGTGCTCCTGGAAGTGCAAGGACATCCCCGATACGAGGAAGACGCTCTCCCACTTCGGGCACTATAATTTTCGTCGATCTTTTCCTTACTTTAGCGGGGGTGGATATGGAGAATCTCTCAGGGATGCGCCGACGGCGGATCACCACACAATCCTTTCCCGTGGTGCCTTTCGCTGGTTGGTGGACATTCGACCAGGGTATCACGTTCTGAGAACAGGCTCCACATGCTATCTCGAGCCATACATCCCTTGCAGGTTTGCCCGCCAGTTTGGGTATGATCAATTGTATGTGGGCAACGCCAACCCTCGCCTACACTTCGAAGGAGGACTGGTTGACGGCGCTCGGGGGTGGTTCTGGACCCATGCTGGAGGTACTCAAGCTCG